CAATAGAAAATGAGAATCATCCCTTGTTTTAATTCATTTTTGACACGTATAACAGTTTTTGAAAAAAAAATCAAGAAACCAAAGTTCAACATTTGTCTCATTAACAGCACATCATAACTGCTGCCCTGTTGTAGAAACAGCCTTGTCAATCCCACAAAGTACTCCTTACCAACATCTGGGGGCTAGTGCCAAAACTGCCAGCACTGTCTCACAGATTTGTCAAGCAACAGCCTGTCATAGTCATACTCACAGAATCATACCTTACAAACAAGGTCCCAGACACCATCATCACCATCCCTGGATATGTCCTGTCCCACCGGGAGCATAGTAGTATACAGTCAGGAGGGAGATTCCCTGGGAATCCTTAACATTGGTTCTGGACCCCATGAATTCTCATGGCTGGTCATGGCCCACATGAACTCTACCCTCCCAGCCTGACTTGATTCCCTGCAATTTGCCTACCGGTGAAACAGGTCCACAATGGATGTTATTTCCCTTGTCCTACACTCATCCCTGGAACATCTGAATTACAAGGACACCTACATCAGGCTCCAGCTGAACGACTACAGCTCTGCTTTCAACACAATAATCCCTTCCAGACTAATGTCAAAACTCTGAGACCTAGGTCTCCGCTTTGCCCTCTGCAACTCGATCCTCAGCTTCCTGACCCACAGACCACAATCAGTGAAGATAGACAACAGTACCTCCTCTACGATAAACCTCAACACTGGTGCCCCACAAGGATGTGTTCTCAGCCCCCTACTGTACTCCCTGTACACCCACGACTGTGCAGCCAAATTCCAAACAAAAATCATCTACAAGTTCTTTGAAGGCACTGCCTTGGTTGGATGGATATCAAACAATGAAAAGGCAGATAACAGGACGATAGAGTGCTTAGTGTCATGGCGCAATGATAACAATCTCTCTCTCAATGTTGGCAAAACAAAAGAACTGATCATTGACTTCAGGAAGAAAGGAAGAGGACACACCCCTATCTACATCAATGGAGCTGAGGTAGAGAGGGTCGAGAGTTCCTAGAGTGACAATAACTGACTATCTGTCCTGGGCCTCCCACGTAAATGTAACAGTCAAGATGGCACACCAGCGCCTCTTCTTCCTCAGGCAGCTTAGAAAATTCAGCATGTCCATAAGCACCCTCATCAATTTTTACAGATGCACCATAAAAAGCATTCTATGCGGGTGCATAATGGACTGGCATGGCAACTGCTCAGCCAAGGATGGTAAGAAACTACAGAAAGTTGTGTGCACAGCCTCACCATCACAGAAGCCAACCTCCCATCCATGGACTCCATTTACACTTCTCATTGCTGCAGGAAGGCTGCCAACATCATCAAAAATCTCTCCCATCCCAGTGAAGCTCTCTTCCAACCTCTTCTGTCAGGCAGAAGATATAGAAGCTTGAACACATGAACCAACAGGTTCAAGAATAGCTTCTTCCCTGCCATTATTAGACTGCTGAATGGACCTCTCTAACTTCAAAATGTTGATCTTGCTAATGTTGACCTTGCTTTGTGCACCACCCGTGCACCATAACCTTGTGTACCTTGTTCTGTCTAAGCACACTATGATCTGTATGTCCTTGTTTGCTATGAACTACCTGTACTGCTCACAAAACAAAGCTTTTAACTGTACTTGGGTACATGTGACTACAATAAATCAAATTAAATCAAATCAGGTGGTGAGAAAACCAACAAGAGGGAAAAACATACTTGACCTCATCCTTACCAATCTGCCAGGCGCAGATGCATCTGTCCAAAACAGCATCGGTAAGAGTGACCACCGCACAGTCTTTGTGGAGGCGTTGGCCTAGTAGTATTATCGCTGGACTGTTAATTCAGAGACCCAGATAATGTCCTGAGGATCCGGGCTCGAATCCTACCATGGCAAATGGTGGAATTTGAATTCAATAAAATATCTGGAATTAAGTGTCTAATGATGACAGAAAAATTGTCAGAAAAATCTATCTGTTGATTGTCAGAAAAATCTATCTGGTTCACTAATGTCCTTTAGGGAAGGAAACTGCCATCCTTACCTGGATGGTATCTGGCCTACATGTGACTTCAGACCCAAAGCAATGTGGTTGACTCTGAACTGCCCTTTGGGAAATTAGGGATGGACAATAAATGCATGTCTAGCCAGCATCCTGTTAATGAATAAAGGAAAAAAAATCGAGGTCCCACCTTCACATTGAGAATAACCTCCATCATGTTGTGTGGCACTATCACCATGCTAAATGGGATAGACTTCGAACAGATCTAGCAACTCAAGACTGGGCATCCATGAGGCGCTGTGGGCCATCAACAGCAGCAGAATTGTACTCCAGCACAATCTGTAACCTCATGTGCCGGCATATCCCTCACTTGCAGAGAGTGGTGGGTGCCTGGAACACGTTGCCAGCGGAGGTGGTAGAGGCGGGCACGATAGCGTCATTTAAGATGTATCTAGACAGATACATGAATGGGCAGGGAGCAGAGGGATACAGATCCTTGGAAAATAGGCGACAGGTTTAGATAGAGGATCCGGATCGGCGCAGGCTTGGAGGGCCGAAGGGCCTGTTCCTGTGCTGTAATTTTCTTTGTTCTTTTCTTTGTTCTAACCATTATCATCAAGCCAGGAGATCAACCCTGATTCAATGAAGATTGTAGGAGGGCATGCCAGAAGCAGCACCAGGCATACCTGAAGATGAGGTGTCAACCTGGTGAAGCCACCAAACTGGACTACTTGCATGCCAAACAGCAGAAGAGCAGGTGATAGACAGAGCTAAGCGATCACACAACCAACACATAGGATTTAAGACCTGCAATCCTGCCACATCCAGTCATGAATGGACGTGGACAATCAAACAACTTACTGGAGAAGGAGGCTCCACAAATATCCCCATCATCAATGATGGGGGAGCCCAGCACATCAGTGCAAAAGATAAGACTGAAGCATTTGCAGCATTCTTTAGCCAGAAGTGCCAAGTAAATGATCCATCTTAGCCTCATTCAGTGGTCCCCAGCATTACAGATACCAGTCTTCAGCCAATTTGATTCACTCCACATGATATCAAGAAATGGTTGGCAATACTTGTTACTACAAAGGCTACGGGCCCTGACAACATTCTGGCAATAGTACTGAAGACTTGTGCTCCAGAACTTGCTGCTTCCCTAGCCAAGCTGTTCCAGTATGGTTATAACACTGGCATCTATCCAGCAATGTGGAAAATTGCTCAGGTACGGCCTGTACATAAAAAGCAGGACAAATCCAACAAAGCCAATTATTGCCCCATCAATCTACTCTCGATCATCAGTGAAGTGATGGAAGGTGTCATCAATATTGGCTATCAAGCAGCACCTGCTCAGCAACCTGCTCAGGGCCACTCAGCTCCTGAACTAATTACAGCCTTGGTTCAGACATGAACAAGAGAGCTGAATTCCAGAGGTGAGGTGAGAGTGACAGCCCGTTACATCAAAGCTGCATTCCACCAAGTGCAGCATCAAGGAGCCCTCTCAAAAGCAGAATCAATGGGTATCTGGAAGCAAACTCTCCGGTGGTTGGAATCATACCTGGCACATAGAAAGGTGATGTGGTTGTTGGAGGTCAATCATCTCAGCTCCAGGACATCTCTGCAGGAGTTCCTCAGGGTAATATCCTCAGCTTAACCTTCTTCAGCTGCTTCATCAATGACCTTCCCTCCATCATAAGGTCAGAAGTGGGGATGTTCGCTGATAATTGCACAATGTTCAGCACCATTCATGGCTCCTCAGATACTGATGCAGTCCATTTCAAATGCGACAAGATCTGGACAATATCCAGGCTTGGGCTGACAAGTGGCAAGTAACATTCACACCACACAAATGCCAGGCTATGACCATCACCAATAAGAAACAAACTAACCACTGCCCCTTGATATTGAATGGTATTACCATCATTGAATCCCCCACTATCGGCATCCAGTATCATTGACCAGAAACTCAAATGGACTCACCACATAAATACAGTGGCTACAAGAGCAGGTCAGAGGGTAGGAATACTGCGATGAGTAACTCACCTTCTGATTCCCCACTTGCCTGGCATTACATCCACAAACGTCCACTCACTCCAACACCAACCTTCAGTAGCAGCAGTGTGTACTATCTACAAGATGCACAGCAGAAATTCAGCAAAGATCCTCAGACAACACCTTTCCAAAGACCAGGACCACTTCCATCTGGAAGGACAAAGGCAGCAGATATATGGGAACACCACTACCTTCAAGTTACCTTCTAAACCACTCACCATTCTGACTTGGAAATATATCGTTGTTCCTTCACTGTCACTGATTCAAAATTCTGGAATTCCCTCCCTAATGGTATTGTGGGTCAACCCACAGCAGGTGGACTGCAGTGGTTCAAGAAGGCATCTCACCACCACCTTCTGGAGAGCAACTAGGGAGGGGCAATAAATGCTGGCCAGCCAGCAATACCCACATCCCGCAAATGAATAAATAAAAGAAATTGTATCACCTTAAATTGGAAGGCTACCATGTAACTTGCTTTCTTCCCTGCAAAGAATCCTACCTGATAAAAGGATGGCCTACGATAGGAAATTGCTGAATTATAACCAATTAGCATGCAAATTCAGCTAAGCTGATTTGTTGATAGGCGCCAATTTATGTGCCTGCTCCTGGAAAGAAACTGAGCAGCTCCAATTCCTCGAATGAGAGGTTCATGAATGCTTTGCATGTGTAATTTACTGACACATGTGAGCCTTTGTAAATAGTTTGCTTGCAAGTGAACCAAAAAGCCTGTCAGATAATTAATTGCTCCCTAAGAAATTTGTATACATGTCACATGCCACATATGCATTATTGTATTAATTCAAATTTGACTGTCTTGAAAATTAAGTGTACTTATATTTAAAATATATTACCTGTATTTCTAAAACAAAAGACCAATCTTCCTTGCAGGCTTATAAAAGCTAAATAATACATTTCTAAAAACACAAATGAATTTTACCTGTAATCCAATATCAGTAACTCCCGAACACTCTGCCACCGTGAACTCTGTTATCCTGGTGTTGTTGGAGAGACCTCCTAAACTCTGACAAGAAATCAATGGAAATTAAAAGAATTATTGAAATTAAAATTTTAAAAATCAAGAGGTCTTTGAATTTCATTTAGCCTAGATTATTGGATTGATAACCAGCAGATTAAATGAGTTATGACTGTTGACAGAAAAAAACTGAGCATACAAGGAATAAGCTAACAACTTGATTTACTGAGTGAATTTACCACATGTAAAATTAGATGCTAAGCAGACCAATTTCCAAAAGGGATGTTAACAAGTAGCTTAAAACGTTTATTTTTACATTGTAATGAAGTTTTTTTTTAATATCTAATATTTATCACCCATACCCTAGATGTTTAATCTGCAGCCTACTCTAATATCTTGGGTGATGTGACGTCTGAAAGGGTTAATGCTGAAGACTGGCTCCACCCAATCTTATGAGGTCATGATGTCTTGGGTGGGAAAGGCAAAACGACTTCACCTCTCAAAGCAGACATACAAGGGAATTTCTGGATGCCTGGATCTCAACACAGGATTCCATTAACAAACACATAGAAATAGACCCCGTATACAGACCGCTGCTGAAAAACAGAACCGGAAGTGACAAGACCCACCACATCAGAGGATCATATAAATTTGGAATGGAGAAGAACACCAACACTTCGATTAGAGTTCGCACTGATGATGTTGTCTAGAATGGTAATGAAACGTCCGCACCCCATGGAACAACTGGCTTGGCGATGAAACAAACAACCGATGATGACATCTATCTACATAGAACACGCTGACAGCAACCAAGTAAAACAGCATAGCTATGCACTGTCCATGCCATGCCATGTAAAGCAGGCAAATTATTGAATTTCTAGGCCTGGGTACCTTACAGTTGTCACTAAGTTTTTAAAATTTGACACAAGTAAGATTCAATTTCACCCCTTCCATTGGACAATTCATTGAGATTTTAGGAAGAAGCAGAATTTTATGATCACTGAAAGTCAAAGCCCACAGTCCACATTTTGGGGTTGATTGAAAATGTGTTGTTTGTACATTTTGTTTATTGTTAGTACAATGTAAAATAACTCAACATGCAGTTTATTTTATCTAATTAATTATTTTAATTATTGCTCATGTTTCATTGCTTTGAGTTTCAAATTAAGTTGCAGTTTTAGATTTAAACAAAATATTAATAGGGAGCAATATATATTTTGTATAATATCCTGATACCATGAAGACTAAATTATAGAAGCTAGTCAACATCAATCTGCAGCAACTCTGCAAATACCAAAGATTCAATAACGTCACAATCTTTAAAAATAATGACTCAGTGAAATGCTTAAAATTAACTGAGCCTGTAGCTCAATCAACGTGGTCACTACATGCTAAAGCTGTTAAAAATTAAAGAAATATTAATACGTAATAAAATGAAATACTGCAGGCAATGAAAGGGTTTCTGCTCATTCTTTCAATTCATCGAATGTTTTGTTTATTTGTCTGTTTATGATTGATTGTACACTTCATTAAGCTAGAAGGCTCAAATCTGTTTCATCTTGAAGCTGAAAGAACTGCTGGTTATTTTGTATGGTGAATAAGGCCATCAGTTACTGAACTATACGTTGAAAATACATACAAGCTCTTTTTGACAACCACAATAAATCCAGTGACAGTGTGATTAAACTTGCTGAAAATTTGGAGGGAAGTGGTTACTTAAGACCCTGCCAATTCTGAGAGATTCTGGTCATCAATGGAATTTCCATCTCCCCAGCAAAGGGGAGCAGGTGTTGGATATGTGGGTTCTATGCTCAATGAAATAGAAGATACTTAGATTGCTACTTTCTTGGAGATGGTATAATAATTGGGGAGGGTTGAAAGTATCGGGAGGAATTAGGTAGAGAAAGCAACAGGTCAAGTTGCTGAGTAGAATAAAACCTTTAAATTGATTCCCCAGTTGATTTGGGAGAAATTATTTATAGGTGATCCTGCTGAGCATTCAGTTAAAATAATAGATTTCTGTTTAATCACACAGGAAATCTTTCTTGATAATCTCTCCAATTTAAACAGTGATTAGATTTCTTATCACATTGGTTAAATGGAGGCTGATCATGACAATGAAACCTCTTCCTACTGTGGCTGATCTTTATGTTTAATGACCTAAAGAAAGTTGCTTGATATCATATGGAATTTTAGATAAATAGCATTTACTATTATTTTAGAAAACTTTTTTTAAACCTGCTCTTGTATGTTGGTTCCTGTTAGGTCAATGGTGTTCAGTACAGGCAAGTTCCCAAGCCACTCAATTCCACTGTCAGTTAAGCGTTCACAGTAACGCAATCTCAGATGTGTTAAACTATGGCACCTGAAAAAGTTACAATAGATTATAGATTGGATGCTATAACATATATGTTCATCATAAGAATGAAAATTCATTTATCATAGTTCCAACACTGTTTGTGGTATCATGTATTTGATAACTTATTGAAAAATAAAAATTGTACATCAAGAATGTTCAAAAAAATTTAGATTTCACTACTACATAAAATAATATTTACTAAATAAATTATGCCATTTACTATTTATTAGTAAAACAAATTAGGAACTAGGTAGTGATTAAAAAAGACCTGCAGAAGATAATACAGCAACTCATTGCTTGAATAGCAATTCACACAGGCTGTACACTCTTTCAGAGTGATCAACTTTTTAGGGAACTGGTCTGGAGATAACGAGAAGTGATATCAGTAAGACAATAATCACTTCTAAGAAACTAATCGGAACTCAGAAATACCACTCACCACGCAGAGAAAGTGGCTTGCAAAACTTAATAAGCAGTAATTTTTTGAAACCAGGCATGCAGCAAATTGAGAATGCAGATGAAAAACTTCAGTCAACAGAGCAGAACAGGAATTCAGAATCATGTCACAAGTTCACCAAATTATCCTCAAGCAAATGGAGAAGCTAAGCGAGGAGTTTGTACAATCAAAACATTATTGAAGCAGAACAAAAGAAATCTAAGTCTTGCAGTATTAAGCTAAAGACCATCACCACTTTAGCATAGACTGGCACCACAGCTCTTTATGTGTAGAAGGTTGAGAACAGAACATCCACCTTTGTCTCAGCAACTAAGCCAAATATCACTGAGACTGGCCATAACAGAGTGAAGCAGCATGAAGAAGAGCAAAGAGTAAACCAAGCTAGAAATGTTAATATAATGTAGAGTATGAGTTACCTCAGCTGCAGTTCAGGAATGAATATGGATAAGAGATCAACAGATAGAAGGTATGATCGTGGAGAAAAGCACAGCAAACAAGCTCATACAGGGTTGAAACAGATCAAGGTGTAATAAGGCAAAATTGTAATACATTGCTATAACAAGAAACCAAAAAATCACAGAACTGTTTCTCAGAAGAGGAACAAGAAAACACTAAAGTACTCAGTATACTCAGACGCAAGGAAGGAAGAGTGCAGAGCATTGAAAACCTCAGAATGAGACCAGAGCTAGATGAGGGAAACTGGTCAAACCACCACAAAAACTAACTCTGTGAAGTGCAAGGTTTTTTGGGGGGTAGGGTAGGGAAGCGTGGAGGGGGAAAGAGGTTCAGAAGGAAAATAAAGAATCGGAAACAGAGGCTGCTGTGAAGAGCAGCATGATCCCTGACCTCACTTCTTCCTCCCCCATCTATCCTCACTCCCTGCTGCTGAACCCTGTTTCAGCATCATTGAAATTGTATGTGATGACAGAGCAGGCCTGGAATTGTGCGCATTTCCAGATTAGTGCGCATACTGTTATCCGCAGTTGCAGCTCTCAGCAGACAGTACCTAAATATCACACCAAAGTTACACACAATCTGGTGCAGCCTCAAACATTTGCTAGAAAGAGGCATGGAATTGGTAGCGAGGGGATCAGGTTTTGCGAGGGTGCCCAAAGACAAAGGTTTCTATCTTCCCAGTATTTAATTGGAGGAAATTCTGAACATTCAATACAAGGTGCTAAACAATCAGCCAGACAATTAAAGAACAGAAGAGGGATTAAGTGAGGTGGAGAAGAGATACATGTGGAAACTGAAACCAAGATTTTGGATGACAACGCTGATGTTAGAATGTAGATAAGAAAAAGGAGCCACACCAAAGATAATCATGCATAGGCAAAAACAGAGTCCATTGTAATATTGTAATACCTAAGGTTTTAGAGTAGATTTGTAGCTCGGGTTGTGGATGTTGTGGTTGGTTGGCTTGCCAAGCTGGTTTGTTGTTTTTCCGCAGACGTTTCATTACCCTGCTGGGTAACATCATCAGTGCAGCTCCGATGAAGCGCTGTTGTGTTTTCCCACCTGTTTTTGATCTCTAGAGTCCGTTGAGCTGGATTACCTCACTTCCGAAGAAGTGCACCTCTTCCAGGTATTCAAAGGCAATGGATACCCGAAAAACTGGGTCAAAAGATCCCTATTACACGAATGACACCAGGAAGATACTGCATGCCCCGACACACTCACATCAAAAACATATCTGAACTGACCACAAGATTCCTACAACCACTGGGCATCAGAGTAGCACACAAACCCACATCAACCCTACGACAACTGCTCACCCGAACCAAAGACCCACTACCCACTATGAACAAGATCAATGTCATATACAAGCTTCCCTGCAGAGACTGTGACAAACACTACATAAGACAAACAGGAAGGAAATTAACAACAAGGGTAGACGAACATCAATTGGATGCAAAAAGACGCGGCCAATACTCACTCATCTCTATCCACACAGATAAGGAGACCCACCAACTCGACTGAGACAACACCAAGTTCCTGGGACAAGCAAAGCAGAGACAAGCACGTGAATTCCTGGAAGCCTGGTACGCCAGGAAGAAAGCCATTAATAAACACATAGAGCTTGACCCCATATACACTCCACTGTGAAGGAAAACCGGAAGTGAGGTAATCCAGCTCAACGGACTCCAGAGTTCAAATAACAGGCGGGAAAACACAACAGCTTCATCAGAGGCTGCACTGATGATGTTACCCAGCAGGGTAATGAAACGTCTGCGGAAAAACAATGAACCAGCTCAGCGAGCCAACCAACCACAACATTGTAATACCCAATGTAATACCCATTGCAATAGTACTGTCTGCAAAAGTATAGACAAGAATTAAACTGAAGAAGGTCATGACCTGAAATGTCAACTTCCCTGCTCCTCTGATGCTGCCTGGCCTGCTGTGTTCCTCCAGCTCCATACTGTGTTATCTCTAATTAACCTAGGCAACTCAATCTCAGCAATACACCAGGTACAATGGCAAGAATACAAAATAGAATGATTTTATTTTAGATATGACAAGATAATATTTTGAGACCTAACAGAGTTGCTAAAATGTTGTAGTGAAACGACTGGTCCAAAGTTATTAAATATTTCTGTGTTTTTCATGCAAAAGCAGAGTTCTTGAAAATCATGGATATATTCAAATGTATTATAAATATTCTGTAAAGGTAAATGGAAACTTTGAGTTGTACATACTGATAGACAAATAAAATTCCATACCGCTGTGCAATTTTCAGCAATGATAAATCAGTAATAAAAATGCAGTTGCTTAGATTTAGTTCTCTGAGCCTTGAAGCTGAAGGACCATCCATAAAATATCTTATGCCTCCATCAGTGATACTACAACACAAAACATTTATATTATTTATCTGTATGTACATCTATTTATACAGTAGCATACATTCATCAAATCACACCTCAAATTAAATGCAAAACAATTTTAAAAAACTTTAAGACCTGAACATCCTGATATTATGAGCAGTTAGAAATTGCCCTCAGTTGCTTGTAGTAGTTATAATTGCTTGAACCAGTATCCTTAAAACCATAGACTAGATTTGCTGTTAAACATCACAACTATAACTGGATTTATCTGAACCTTCCGTATCAGGATTGGAATGGAACCTCTGCCCACTATCCCAGCTTACTTCTTTTAATGATCGAGGCCTTCAGTAGGTAAGAGTTTGATGCAGGTGAAATGAAAACTAGAGAACCAGGACTAGACAATAACCATTATAATAAATTTATGCTTTCTTTTGTCTAATCCCAGGGCTTCTCACCAATCATTCAGCTAGTAATGGACATTATAAAAGGGCAAATGGAAAGGCAATGAGCCATGAATCCATGTTTGAAATTCATATTCATCCTTGTAAACAGCAGACACTGAAGAGGTAACATTGAGTTCTGGTTGATTTGGGGGTTTGCAATAGATCTCACTGCTGCACTTACCTACTTTTTCTTTAAACAACCCCCCCAATTTGGGGCATGCTAGTAGAATAAAATCCTGACCTGCCCATGAATGATATACAGGACAAAAACAATGACCTAACTTTCTTGCCATTTTAGTGTTCTCCTATCCCAACACATCAATTTGTCTATGCTGAGAAGTCACAAACCTGAAACATAATATTGTCTTAACGATGTCTATTAAAGCAAAAAACATGGGAGTCAAGACCATTTAATCAAGGGAGAGACCTGGCTTCAGTCTTCTCATAATAACAAAATCTTGAAGTCTACCAAGCGAGCCCTGTTGAAATTGTTAGTAGCTTCCTGGAGGTCACTCTGCCTGATTAACAACGCAGCATTAGGCAGTGGGGCGGCTACTTAAAGACAACCCAATCTCTTATCTCTGACACTCCTATTCCCCCTCTCCTGTGTTTGCCACCCACCTATACCCCTTCACTCATCTTTAACCTGGGGTAATGTAATTTTTCACTCTGGAGATAAATGTTAGACAAGTAAATATCGGCTGCAGTAAAATCCCACACAAACTGGTTTTCTTGAATATAACAGTAAGGACACTGATAGGATTACAACAGAGCATTATAGACTAGGCCACAACTCAAATACACCTGAACCAAGATTTATATCACAGAATTCTGTTGCAATGTTGGTGCAGATAGTCTGTTTGCCCCCAACAAAAATTACAGAGAAGATAAACTGGAGCCAAGTCAGGCCAGGATAGAACCTCCTCTTCAATAGGTTCCTATTGTCATGGTCTTTCAGAGGATTGTTGCACCTTTGAACTTTGATATGTTGAGTGGGGAAAGGCATAACCTTTTACATGTTGAGCATGAGGCTCCAGGTCAAGTATAGGCTTTAAGTCTCAGAGGATTTGATTGTTTTAAAAAGAGAGTAATTTGTGTATTCCTTCAAAGTATGTTTGTTACAGACACATTTAGGACCATTATGAGGGCACACAGCATAGTATTCTCTACTCCTTCAGCCCAAACATGTAGACTACACTTATCAGCATCTGGAGGCAAGCAGGTACACAAAGTACACCCTAATAACATAGTTACGAGTCTACTAAATATTTAAATCGGGTGACCCATAACAGACTGGAGGACAGAAGCAGGTTCATTTTGAAGAAAAGACACATACCGACAGATGTGCTGTTTAGCAGCCTAAGTGTAGTCAAAGTAGTTGGAAAAGGCTTTGAGCTTTTCCTTAGAGTTCAGTGACAAAAGTCTGTGAGTTTGTCACTGTGTGCACAGGATCAGATCAAATGAATGAATAAAATTTCACTGAAAGGACTACTTCGTACCTCATCAGTTGATTAAGAGATATTAGAGTGAAGAATAGGAGTAATATGTCACTAAGGCTGAGTGTCAGTAAAACATTGTTGCTGTTTATGTTAAGATAAATCCAAATTGTCTTTTAGAGTTGGATTTTTCTTCTTTTGTGTAAGAAACTTATGCTCTTTTGTGAAAAGTAAATTGGAAACCTCTTGTGAATATATTCAGTGACTGATCACCAAGATAACTAAATTACAAAGATAAAACTTATGTTGTTTCAAGCCAGGTTTCACTCTGGAATCTAACCTGGCCCATACTACCATCAATTGGGATTATAACACAATTTAGAATTTTAAATCATCCCTAATTAACATTACCACACCCATTCCTCTTTCCTTTTGTAAATCTTTTCTGAAAATATTTGACATCAGGAATATTAAGAACCTATTCTTGGGTCTGTGTGTGCCATGTCTCTGCTAATGCCACCACATAATAGTTTGTGCAGACTGCTTATAAACATTATTAATCATACAACATCATTAACATACACACAATTTAATAATTCTTTCCTTTTCATATTTTCCTCCATTTGGATTCTGAAATTTTCAGGTTATTTCTAATTTTATTGCTGTTTGTATCGCTGTCCTCTAATCATATAGCGATAAGAAGATAATGTATGGAAATTTGTAGCTGTGAAAAGTGGTAAAGGATGAAGGGTTTCATATTCTTGGGGTACTGAGATCAATTTAGAGGAAAGGATACCATATAAAATAGATGAGGATGAAAGTTTTTACTGACAGGTTAACTGGCACTGTTTGAGAGGTTTTGAATTAACATGGAGTACGTTGTTTAAGGAGAATCAGAAAGGAGCAGCATATGAGTTTTCTTTAGCACAAACTATATATATAATACAGATATAAAGGCAAACATTCAAACATAATTTTGTCAATAGAAAGACAGGATTTAGTATGCCATTGATCAGGCATGAAGAATATCAATATTTTAAAAGGTTATTACCTTATACAGTCTGAAATATTCAACACAATGATATGTTTCAATGTTGCCAATGATTTCAGGCTATCATCTGTAATCCTTGGGCAGTCGGACACGTAAATGTGATTCAGGTTTGGGCAATTTTTGCTGATCATTTTGAAAGATGCATCACTAATATGTTGATTACCTGTTGTGGCAGAACAATGGACATAAATTCCAAGGTACTCCTTTTCTCATAGTTAAAGAAATATTTGTACAAGATTTTAATGCATGTAAGAAATTGTACAATTTCTCAAACCTTCAATTTTAACCTTGGTAATCCTCTTCCCTTGGACAAGAGCTTTAATAGCTGCATCAGATATGTGAGGAGAGGCAAGAAGTGAAATTGTAGTCAGGTTGTAGTAGTAACCAACCATGGCCTTTAAGAAAACAATAACAAGTTAGTCAGTACTATCACTTCGAGTTTCTAAATTAAAGAGAAAAAAAGTCTGATTTGTACAAGTGGCATAAAACATTTAGCATTTGGAAAATCTTATTACTAAATTCTTTTTCTCGGTGTAACCCTTTTCTCTCAAAAATTTATTTTCTTAATTTGTGCACCTACTGCTTAGAAGATCTTTGATTTTTTTTCAGAAAAACTAAGCAATCTGGTCCACTTCCATAAAGATGAGCTGTTCTACTTTGAGTATGCAACACAGTACTCTTTGAATTCCCCTGTTTCTGTGCTCAGTTATTTCCTTTCAGTAGCTCACCTAAGGTTTGAAACATAGCTCCTTGGTGAGCCACAGTGGAAGTTTCAATCCAGCACACAGCTATACATTCTGACACAGAGTAATATTGGGTTGGGCATACATCTCCAATTTACATCTAAGATAAGAGTTAGGGACTCGTCTGAGCCTCTACCCTCACAGAATTGCAGATTCTTAGCTCTAATAATAAATCAGAAGAAAACAAATAATACTCGGCGTAATGACTTCCAGACCAATGGAAACTGTGTTGCATTTTGCATCTCTCTGGACTCTGATAACTCTGTAATTATTATGAGACCAACTAGTCAGCAGAACAACAGGAGCCCACTTGAATGCAATTGCTATAGTTGCTGTTTGATGTTGCTGATCATACTAGCCCTCCAGTTCCCCCTTAAAAGATAGAAGATGATGCATGGGTCCCCAAAACTACAATGAAAGAAGGTCCAAATTGGCCAATACCTTTCTGTACAACCTAACCAGCTAAGCATATGTTATGCTACTGTTCAAGGTGCACTTTGAAATCACAAGACCAGACGAGGGAAAGGCATATTTTACCATGTTGGGGTAACATGGTGATAATAAAGAGTAAGTTAGCTTGTGATCATTTTGGACCTTATTATAACTGGATATTCACTTCTGCAGAACTTCACTACTTATGGGGATTTAAGATATAATTGACTTATCTGTGACTGACTTAACCAAGTGATGATTATGTGTGAGAGATCACTTAGTTTCCTTTTTGGGACTATGAACTGAAATGGAAGTTGGAACTGAAATACCAAGAAATTTCTTTTGCTAAGTTATGTGATACAATGTTGCTTTATGAAGTAGTGAAACGGAAAATTCAAGACTGAAGGACGCTGAGAATTTTTTGAGTTAAGGACATTCTGTATGATAACAGCATGCTGACTGATTGACCTACAGAGTGTTAAAAAACTGTAAGGGCAAGTGGCTACAGAGAAAATTCCAGAGTCTGCAAGACAGAAAGCATCCATCTCTCTCTCTCTCTCTCTCTCTCTCGCTCTCTCTCCATGCAGGAAAATGACAGAGAATTGAAGAAACCATAAAGGAAAGAATTCTAAAACAAGAAAAGGCTTAGGTTCACTTAATGAAGCACTGAACCAAAGAATGATTGTCACAAAATAGATATCTTCATTAGAATCAAAAGGACTGCGAGAAAACAACTTCCCATTTTCTGGTCTACGCTTTTGATCTTTGCAAGTTTGGTTGCCTATGTCTATATTGCTTTTCCAACCATAGCATGTTGTTAAACTGTTTGTCTTTTTGAACGTAGAACATTGGACAGTACAGCACAGGAACGGGCCCTTTGGCCCACAATGTTGTGCCGAAGATGACACCAAATTAAACAAATTCTTTCTTTCAGCCATTGGTCTACATCACCCCATTCCTTGCATATTCATGTGCTTATCTAAAAGGCCCTTAAACGCCTTTATTGTATCTGCCTCCACCACCACCCTGCCAGTGCGTTCCAGACTCTTACCACCCTCTATGTAAAAAACTTGCCCCTCACATCTGCTTTGAACTTTTCCCCCCTTACCTTAAATGCATGACCCCCTAGTATTAGACATTTCAACTCTGGGAAAAAGATTCTGACTGTTAACCCTATCTATGCATCTCATAATTTTACGGATTTCTATCAAGTCTCCCCTCAGCCTCCACCATTCCAGAAAAAGCAATCTGAGTTTTTCTAGCCTCTCCTTATAGATCATACCCTCTAATCCAAGCAGTATTCTGGTAAACCTCTTCAGCACCCACTCCAAAGCCTCCATATCCTTACTGTAATGTGGTGACCAGAATTGAATGCAATACTCTAAGTGTGGCCTAACCAAACTCTTATAAAGCTGCAACATGACATCCTGACTGTTGTACTCAATTCCCCAACCAATAAAGGCAAGCATTAATTGTGATTGAGTGTATATTTTTTGAGGTTATGAAGGGGTATAGTTTAAATTACATTGTACTAGATTCGAATTTTTTTCACTCTTTTGTTACAAATTAAATATGTTTTAATAAATACAGATATTTTACAGTTACTGGCAAAACCTGGTGTGAATTGTTTTTGGGCTGTGTAGCAGACAATCAGGCAAATTGTCATTTTTGGTGGTCTCATTTGGGATTTTATACATTTTGTGCCCATTAGTGGAGCAGTGCGGCACATTTATTGGTGTACTCTTCCCAGTCAAGACTTGACAACTGGTGTGGTCAAAAAGTAATAACGATTGAAGCACAGGCCCTTCACTTGAAGCTGCTGCATGCAAAACAACTCTTGTGAAAGCACATGCCATATTATACCACTTTGCTGCTACTGTTTGGGAGTTTTTAGTTAAGTCATTGTTCATCTATGCAGTGGATGGACCTTCACAATCAAAAGCAGATGTTGACATATTCCACTTGGGAACCCTGCAGCCCAATGGTATCAATGTGGATTTCACAAGTTTCAAAATCTCCCCTCCCCCTACCGCATCCCAAAACCAGTCCAGCTCGTCCCTGCCTCCCTAACCTGTTCTTCCTCCCACCTATCCCCTCCTCCCACCTCAAGCCGCACCTCCATCTCCTACCGACCAACCTCATCCCGCCCCCTTGACCTGTCCGTCCTCCCTGGACTGACCTATCCCCTTCCTAACTCCCTACCTACACTCACCTTTACTGGCCCCATCCCCGCCTCTTCGACCTGTTTGTTTCCTCTCCACCTATCCTCTCCTCTATCCCTCTTCTATCCGCCTCCCACTCTCTCCCTATTTATTTCAGAACCCCCTTCCCCTCCCCCTTTTCTGATGAAGGGTCTAGGCCCGAAACGTCAGCCTCTCTGCTCCTATGATGCTGCTTGGCCTGCTGTGTTCATCCAGCCCTGCACCTTGTTGTCTCCGATTCTCCAGCATCTGCAGTTCCTACTATCTCAGATGTTGACATGATTTTTTTTCTCAAGTTGGCTCAAATTTCAAAGTGATTTATTGTTCCATGGTGGTCTGAATTTTACTGACATGCAGATCAGCGTGCCTCTAAATTTTGCTTTTTGTATCCAAGATGGTTGTTTTTTTTCAAATTTGTGATTTTATACCTAAGATGGCACTGGAGAATGTATGATGGCAGTGGAGAATCAAAGATGTAACAAACAAAGTTGATATTGGATCCTGTAGATATAGGATATCTGGACTTCCAAAGGCATTTGATAAGGTGCTACACAACAGGTTAATGTTTAAGGTAAGATCACATCACGTTAGGGGTAATATATTAGTTTGAATAGAAGATTGGCTAACCAACAGGAAATAGAGAGTTGGGGTACATGGATCTTATTCTCGTTGGCAAGCTGTAACTCGTGGGATGCCACAAGGTTCAGTCTTTGACCACCAACTATTTACAATCTGTATTAATGACTTGATTGCCGAAATAGAATGTACAATAGCCAAATTTACAGTTAACACTAAAATAAATGGGAAAGTAAACTGCAATGAGAAAGAAGAAATTAGGAAATGGACAAGGGTAGTTTAGGTGAATGATGGAATTTGACATAGTAAGTGTGAGGTTATCCATTTTTGAATGAACTGGCAATTTATTATCTAAAGTGAGAGAAATTTCAAAACACTTAGGTGCAGAGAGATCTGGTGTCTTTGTGCATGATTGGCAGAAGGCTAATATGCAGATGCAACAGGTAATAAGGATGTCAAATGGAATTTTGGCATTCGTTGCTAAAGGAATCATGTATAAAAGTAATGAATTGTTATTGCAACTATACAAGGCACTGGTGAGACCACGTCTGGAGTACTACGTAATTTACTTGAGGAAAGTTGCAATTACATTGGAAACTGTTCAGGGAAGGTTCAATTGATTAATTTTACAGATGAAAGGTTTGTTTTATGAGGAGGGACTGAGCAGTTTATGCCTAAATGCACTAGAGTTTAGAAGAATGAGAGGAAATTTAATTGAGGTACATAAGGTGCTAAAGAGAATTGACAAAGTAAACATAGTGCAGGTGTTTCCCCTTGCAGGGCAATCAAGAATGAAAGGTCAGAGTTTTATGTGAAAGGGCAATATTCTCTCTGAACTATGCATGTGTGCAGCCTCTCCAGTGTTCCACACACAGTACTCAATGTTGACACACCAGTCACAGCACTGACCTCTGGTTCCAGAAGTTGCTGTTGCACATGGGCTTGGAGACCCATACTGCCAGTAAGAAATTTAGAGGGAACGCTGCTAAGGGGTGGAAGATTTAAAACAGAGGGAGGAATTACTTCTCTAAAAAGGTCATGAATGTGTGGAATTTATTACACCAGAGTGCTGTGGTTGCCAGGATACTGAATAAATTTAAGGAGAAGATCAGTCAGATTTTCAATTAGTAATGGGTTAAAGGGTTATGAGGAGCAGCGGAAAGTGGGGCTATGGCCGTGATGAGGTAAGCTATTATCATTTTAAAAGGCAAAACAGGGTTGAGGGGTTGAATTGCTTATTCTTGCTCCTAGTTCTTATGTTTTTATCCACATAATACGTGGCTCCCTTACTGATTTTAAAAAAAATCATCTCAGCCTTGAATATACTTAATAACCAAACCTATGCAGTCCTCTGTGGTAAACAAATCCACTGATTCAGCACCATCTGAGAGGACAAATTCCTTAACTCCATCTTAAACGTGCAAACCCTTATTCTGAGATTGT